CCCACTGCACCACCGCCGAGAAACACCCCCTGGACCAGCAATCACAGGCCGACCCCACTGCACCACCACTGCCAAGAAATACCCCCTGGACCAGCAATCACAGGCCGACCCCACTGCCACCACCACCGCCCTGCATCCCTGCCCAGCCGTCCCCCAGGGAGTGTAAGAGTCATGTGACTGCAGACAACAGAAACTGAGTTTGACCTGGAGGCCGAGAATGGACTCTCCACTCTTCAAGGAGAGCAGGCTGCCGACACAGAGGATCAGGACTCTGAGCCCCACTGCTGATTAGGCCTGGGCTCCCCTGTGAGTTCACTGCAGATTTTGTCTCTCAGCAGCAGTTTCACGTCTAGAAAACCTTTAGAGATTGTTGAGATGACCTAACAAATACCAGAGCCACACAGATCGTTGCCTGCAGCTCCAGAGCAGTGGATAAGAGCGATGTGCACGTGACTGAGAAGCGGCAGGACGGAGGGGACCAGCTGCCTGGTGACAGCAGCCAGTGTCCAGCCCCAGATATGAAAAGCCACTCCTGGGTCCCCGTAGAAAGGAGAACAGCCAAAGCTCGGTTCTGCTAGAGGCACCATTGCAGCAGCACCGTCCACCCGCCTGCAGCCGTGACCACATCCCAGCTCCAGGGCAGCACTCAGCGCACTCAGTCCAGGGAACAGCAGCAGCCAGAAGCTGCGGGGAGAAGGCCGCTGCATCCTGACGTCCAGCTCACTCGCTGCACTTCCTCCCACTTCACTACTGTTGTCACCCCCCTGGTGACACCCCAGGGTGGACTGGAAACTCTGACAACTGTCTCCCATCCCCACATCCTGGAACAGCCTTGGATTATTTTACTGCTGCTATGACTGGTCCGGCCCTTACCTATTCCCACGGTTCCTCAGCCTTTCCAGCTCCATCCTAACCTTGTCACTCAGCTCTACCTTGGAAGAGAAATATTTAACCTTGATGTTCCTATTTAGCTCTCGGGCCCCAGTCTCACTGCCTGTACTGAGCACACACAATTCTAGTTCCTTCTCACAGCCCCTCGTCTGCCTTCAGCCTCCCTTCCACCCTGAGCCAGCAGATGCCCAGCCGACCACCTGGCTGCCGCCTGACCAACACCCCCACACTCCAGCGCCCCATCCCTTCTTCACACATCACTGGCAACCCCAACCCCAGACCCACATTCTCCTTTTAGAAATGGAGCCCTTCAGATTCATGCCTGTCTATCGTGCTGGGTCCTCAACCCCACCGGATGCATTTCACCTTTTCCTCTCAATTTAAATCTTTATTACTGAAAGTTTCTATTTACTCCCAACCCCCACTGACTCCAAGTAAATACTTTCCCCAATTTCTCTATGAAAACAGAAGCTCCTGGGTCTGAATGGCCTCCTGCTCCCGTCCTCCCTCCCTGAGGAAGCTGGTGCCTCAACTACCATCCTCACCACCTTTACCTAAGTCTCAGAAGCTGAGGTCTTCTGTTCAAGTTCAGTCTGTCCCCCTGCTGCGAGCCTGCCCTGTGGCCTCTCCTCCAAAGTCTGCATGGCCATCCGAGTGGCACATTCTAGAAGCGCATCCTCTCAGTCCCACTCCAAACTCCCTAAAGCAGGGCCTGTATGTGAGCCGATCGCCACATTACTTACGTGCTCACTCAAGTTTGAGGACCAATGCTCCAGAACACTGCCTTTGAGCAACAGTATCTCCCTGAAGAGAACCAGGCAAACCAGGGCCTAGAACAGGAGCCAGCATGCTTCCTGTCAGGGACCAGACTTGAAACACTTTAGCCACTGCAGTGAGAGTGGTCTGAGACAGTCGTGGGCAAATCCATTTACCTCCATTCTGATGAAGCTTTATTTACACAAGTCAGCCCGTGGCAGGACTTGGCCTGAGGCCACAGTTTCCTGACCCCACTAGAGAGTGCAAGCCACGGGGCTCATTTAGGGGGCAATGGGGGATTGCTGACCATCCGAGACTCATACCGTGTAGGGTACGAGACTAAACATGTGAGCTGCGGCCACAGAACCCTGGACAATGGCTATGCTTTCCTGAATCACCATTTAAAAAATTGTCCTTGGCTTCCTCATAGATTTAAGGACAAATGAAATATATGTGGCCATGTTTTTGAAAACTAACATGCTGTAATTGTTAGTTTATTTTGTGATTGCGTTTGCAAAGATTCAGGATAAAGTCAGAATCTTCAGCAAGCCGCTTATTTCTCCCTGAGATGTGGAAGGTAAACTCAGTTTCTGGACAAGATCAGTCACATGCTCACAAGCTTCTTAGAAACGTGGCAAATTTCTATCTCGTTTAATTCTGGACAGAATTTTAAATCTCATTTAATTCATTTCATTAGGATATTCACTTAGAACAAGAAAAAGCAACCCCCAAATCAGCATATATTAAACAATAAAGCAGATTATTCACTTGGATTTTTGGAATTAAAGAAAGAAAAAAGAAGCTTGACAATCCTCGGAAAAGAGCCTTTCCAGCTGTACTCTGTGTTCTTCACAGGGTACTTCCAAGACACCGCCAGCCCACCAGCAACCTGGGGTTTTTCTTGTTTTCCATTTTCTCTGATCACAACACCTGTTATAATACCACCTAAATGACTAGAATATAGATTAATTTACTAGTGCACTAATAACTAAATTCTCCTTTCAAATGCATACAATTTATGAGGCAAAAGCCCTCAAATTTCTCAAGTCCAAGGATTGTGTGGCCGTGTAACATTCCAATCATCTGTAAATCACTCTCCATAGGCACACGTAGCAGAGACGTGTTCAATACCATCAACTGCCTGGTCTTTCTCTTCTTCAGAGCCTGACAAAATAAAAAAAAAATGAGATGCTAAATATGCTATTATCTCACGGCAATTGTGCTCACGAACGCTGAGCTAGTCAGTAATTCTGAGGCCCCCTAGGATCAGCCGTCCTCAGTTCCTGAGCTGAGCTGCGGTGGAGGGGCCCACACAGAGCCTGGCATTACCTGCCCGGATGTACACCTGGTGGGCCTGCTGCCGCTGCCGCGCCTTGAGCCGTGAGTACTGCCGCTGCAGGGCGCTGATGTCTGTGGTCATGCGCTCCATTAGCATGCTGTTGAAAGCCGCGTGGTACTCGCTGCGAGAGGAGTTGATGGCCCCCGGGCTCAGCTCTGCAATATTGTTAGATCTCAGACTCTGCTCCCCACCTGGCTCTGCACCTGCAGGAAGACACAGGATGACCAATGGAGGGGACGGGGACCGACTCCACCACAGCCCTGGACAAATTCACCCTATCAAATTCTAAACCACAAAAAAACAGACACTGGAATTGGTCCAGTGCTTGTTCAGATTTGCTCCTGAAAATACTTCCTCATTTTCTTATCAACCTTACTGTGGGTGTGGAATGGGCAGAGTGGGCTCGGCGCTTGACCTTGTTACCTGTTTGTCCATTCTACAGACATGAGGTCAACTGCATCTGGACACAAGTCACTACTGTGTTCTACGATTCCCTCAGGACAATTTAACTCCAAATATTTTAAAATCATTTTCATGTTTTCATACAACTGCGTGAGGATATTTAAGGGATTGACGGTTTGTACAATTTAGACACTAGAAGTTTTTTGTTAAGTTAAGAATAGTAACACATCTTATAAAATTTACAAGACTTCAGATCATTGTGTCACTAGAGATGAATGAATCATTTCATTTACTAAATAATTCCCGTCTACTATGTTGTATGTTTTATATGTTTCTGTTCTTGTGACACCCACAACCAGCAGATGTGTCTCTTAAATAAAACTGAAATTACATCCAAGAAAGAGAGTCATCCCCACAGTGGGTGCACCCTCAAAGACATACCCATGGTGGGTATACCCTCACAGACATCCCCGCGGTGGGTGCACCCTCACAGACATCCCTGTGATGGGTATACCCTCACGGACATCCCCGTGTTGGGTACACCCTCACAGACGTCCCCACAGGGTGGGTATACTCTCACAAACGTCCCCGCAGTGGGTGCACCCTCACGGACATCCCCGCAGTGGGTATACCCTCACAGACATCCCTACGGGGTGAGTACACCCTCACGGACATCCCCACAGTGGGCACACCCTCACAGACATCCCCGCAGTGGGTATACCCTCACAGACATCCCTACGGGGTGAGTACACCCTCACGGACATCCCCACAGTGGGCACACCCTCATGGACATCCTTGCAGTGGCAGCACCCTCACAACAACTCCGCCAAGTGGGCAAACCCTCACGGACATCCGCACCATAGGCATACCCTCACGGACATCCCTACAGGGTGAGTATACCCTCACAGACATCCCCACGGGGTGGGTATACCCTCATGGACATCCCCACAGTAGGCACACCCTCATGGACATCCCCACGGCGGGAGGACTCTCACGACATCCCCGCAGTGGCTATACCCTCACGGACATCCCCGTGTTGGGTACACCCTCACAGACATCCCCGCAGGGTGGGTATACTCTCACAAACGTCCCCGTGGTGGGTACACCCTCACGGACATCCCTGCAGTGGGTACACCCTCACAGACATCCCTATGGGGTGAGTATACCCTCATGGACATCCCCGCAGGGTGAGTATACACTCATGGACATCCCCACAGTAGGCACACCCTCATGGACATCCCCGCAGTGGCTATACCCTCATGGACATCCCCACAGTAGGCACACCCTCATGGA